CCCTATGGTGGTCCCCTCTCTCCACCTACTAAAAACCCTATGGTGGTCTCTGTCTTCACTACTAAAGCCCTATGTGGCCCCTCTCTCCACTACTAAAGCCCTATGTGGTTTCTCTCCCACTACTAAAGACCTATGGTGGTCCTCTCTCCACTACTAAAGCCCTATGGTGGTCTCTCTCTCCACTACTAAAGCCCTATGGTGGTCTCTCTCTCCACTACTAAAGCCCTATGGTGGTCTCTCTCTCCACTACTAAAGCCCTATGGTGGTTCTCTCTCTCTCCACTACTAAAGCCCTATGGTGGTCTCTCTTCCACTACTAAAGCCCTATGGTGGTCTCTCTCTCTCCACTACTAAAGCCCTATGGTGGTCCTCTCTCCACTACTGAAGCTCTATGGTGGTCTCTCTCTCTCTCCACTACTAAAGCCCTATGGTGGTCTCTCTCTCCACTACTAAAGCCCTATGGTGGTCTCTGTCTTCACTACTAAAGCCCTATGGTGGTCCTCTCTCCACTACTAAAGCCCTATGGTGGTTTCTCTCCCCACTACTAAAGACCTATGGTGGTCTCTCTCTCCACTACTAAAGCCCTATGGTGGTTTCTCTCTCCACTACTAAAGCCCTATGGTGGTCTCTCTCTCCACTACTAAAGCCCTATGGTGGTCTCTCTCTCCACTACTAAAGCCCTATGGTGGTCTCTCTCTCTCCACTACTAAAGCCCTATGGTGGTCTCTCTCTCCACTACTAAAGCCCTATGGTGGTCTCTCTCTCCACTACTAAAGCCCTATGGTGGTCTCTCTCTCTCCACTACTAAAGCCCTAGCTGAGATCACTAATGGATTTTGTCAACTCAGGGCCTCAAAATAGAGGATTGTGATTTATGCTAAGGTACAGATCAATTTCTGGTTTAGGCTAACACAGAGTAGATTAAATGGAATTTGATGGAGTGTTTGAAAAAGGCTGTTGGCCATTTTAACCCATTTAACACAGTGACATTATCTGTGATGAAACGACTGCTCATTAGTGTAGCGCTGTGTGTAGTGCCAGGAGTAACGAACTTACCTTTACATTTAGATCCAGGATCATCCTTAAATAACATAAAATCCAACTTTATCCATTAAGTGTGTGCAAAACGGATCAGTGTCTTGGAGCTATATTCATCCTACTCTACATTTTAGTCATTTAGCAGACGCTCTTATCCAGAGCAACTTACAGTTAGTGAGTGCATACATTTTCATACTGGTCCCCCGTGGGAATCGAACCCACAACCCTGGTGTTGCAAACGCCATGCTCTACCAACTGAGCTACATCCCTGCCGGCCATTCCCTCCCCTACCGTGCATACATTTTCATACTGGTCCCCTGTGGGAATCGAACCCACAACCCTGGTGTTGCAAACGCCATGCTCTACCAACTGAGCTACATCCCTGTCTGCCATTCCCTCCCCTACCCTGGACTAATCGTGCGCCGCCCCATGGGTCTCCCGGTCGCGGCCGGCTACGACAGAGCCTGGATTCGAACCAGGATCTCTAGTGGCACAGCTAGCGCTGCGATGCAGTGCCTTAGACCACTGCGCCACTCGGGAGGTCTGTGTGTGGCAAGCCCCCTGAATGGTGCTAGTGAAAAGCTGTCATCCCTGTTGCCAACTACCGCTGAGCAGCACTACATCTCACCACGTTGAGTATGTGCTAGGTTCATTATCATGCTGAGAACATCTGGCTCTCCACTGGTTTTCCTCTCCAGGGTTGGGTTCATTTATGGACCTCCCCAGCCAGAGGCCTGTGGTGCTATATTTCTACCCAGCCAATGCAGCCCCGACTCGGCCAAGGCATCCCCGTCTCCAGCTTTCTCTGGCCAAGGTATCCCCGTCTCAAGCTTTCTCTGGCCAATGCAACCTCTTCTCTAGCTTTCTCTGGCCAACACAACCTCTTCTCTAGCTTTCTCTGGCCAACACAACCTCTTCTCAAGCTTTCTCTGGCCAAGGCAACCTCTTATCTAGCTTTCTCTGGCAAATGCAACCTCTTCTCTAGCTTTCTCTGGCCAACGCAACCTCTTCTCAAGCTTTCTCTGTCCAATGCAACCTCTTCTCTAGCTTTCTCTGGCCAACGCAACCTCTTCTCAAGCTTTCTCTGGCCAATGCAACCTCTTCTCAAGCTTTCTCTGGCCAAGGCAACCTCTTCTCAAGCTTTCTCTGGCCAATGCAACCTCTTCTCAAGCTTTCTCTGGCCAAGGCAACCTCTTCTCTAGCTTTCTCTGGCCAACGCAACCTCTTCTCAAGCTTTCTCTGGCCAAGGCAACCTCTTCTCAAACTTCCTCTGGCCAGTCAAACCTCTTCTCCAGCCTTCTCCATACAAGGCAACCCCTTATCCATATGCAACCCTTGCTCTGGAGCAGTCCGGGAACCCAATTACTCTAACTTCTTCCATCCATCCAACAAAAGAAGGCATCCAACCCTTCCCCCAGTGTTCCCAGGCCAAGGCAGCATCTTCTCCATAGCCAAAAAACACATAGCCATTCCCCTTCTCCCATCTGTCCCTGTAGCCAAGGCTGTCTCACACCCCTTAGCCTATTCATTCCCAGCCAAGGTATCCCCATCTCTATGCATGACTTCTCCATAGCCAAGGTAGCCCCATCTCTATGCATGACTTCTCCATAGCCAAGGTAGCCCCATCTCTATGCATGACTTCTCCATAGCCAAGGTAGCCCCATCTCTATGCATGACTTCTCTATAGTCAAGGTAGCCCCATCTCTATGCATGACTTCTCCATAGCCAAGGTAGCCCCATCTCTATGCATGACTTCTCTATAGCCAAGGTAGCCCCATCTCTATGGATGACTTCTCTATAGCCAAGGTAGCCCCATCTCTATGGATGACTTCTCTATAGCCAAGGTAGCCCCATCTCTATGCATGACTTCTCCATAGCCAAGGTATCCCCATCTCTATGCATGACTTCTCCATAGCCAAGGTAGCCCCATCTCTAGGACTTCCCTACAGCCAAAGCTATATCTATAGCTTCCTGTTGTAGCCAACGTAACACTTAACCCCATCTCTCAATGATCACTCCCTATAGCCAGAACAGTTTAACCCCATCTGTAAATCACTTCCTTAGCTAGCCAAATCAGTTCGCCCTCCCGTTCTTCCACAGCCCACTCCCAAGCCTCCTCTCCTAGCCTCCCCCCCTAGCCAGAGCTGCCCGTCCCCAGCCATCACCCCCTTTTCTCCAGCAACATCCGCCCACGCTCCAGCCCCATGTAGTGTGGTTCCTGTATGGAACACTTGAAAGAGGAGGTGCACTATAAAGGGAATTGGGTACTATTTGGGAAGTAACAGAGATCCCTCATTGAGCCACCACAGACAGTGTAACCTTCAGTATGAGAGAAGTCACAAAGGTCGTATAACTCACATTAGAGTCCTGTACTAACCAGACAGAATGACAGGAGGAGAGGAACAGAGAAGGAGGAGGAGAGAAAGGAGGAGGAGGAGGAGGAGGAGGAGGAGGAGGAGGAGAGGAAGACAGAGTCCTGCTCCACTCTCCCTAGTCAAATCAATCAAATCAAATGTTATTTGTCACATGCGCTGAATAAAACAGGCTTTACTTACTTACTTACTTACTTTCCTACAGAGTTACAAAGTAAGAACAAATTGCACCAAAAAAAAGAGGAAATGACAACACAATAAAATAACAAGAACAAGACTATATACAAGGAGTACCGGTACCAAGTCACTGTGCCGGGGTACCAGGTAGTAATGAGAATATATACAAGGAGTACCGGTACCAAGTCACTGTGCAGGGGTACCAGGTAGTAATGAGACTATATACAAGGAGTACCGGTACCAAGTCACTGTGCAGGGGTACCAGGTAGTAATGAGACTATATACAAGGAGTACCGGTACCGAGTCACTGTGCAGGGGTACCAGGTAGTAATGAGACTATATACAAGGAGTACCGGTACCAAGTCACTGTGCAGGGGTACCAGGTAGTAATGAGACTATATACAAGGAGTACCGGTACCAAGTCCATTGTGCAGGGGTACCAGGTAGTAATGAGACTATATACAAGGAGTACCGGTACCGAGTCACGAATGCAGGTGGTCCCAGGTAGTAATGAGACTATATGACAAGGGAGTACCGGTTTACCGACGTCATTTGTTGCAAGGGGTACCAGGTAGTAATGAGAACTCATATTACAAGGAGTACCGGTACCGAGTCATTGTGCAGGGTACAGGTAGGTAACTGAGGACTACTATACAAGGGAAGTGACCGGTACCGAGTCAATGTGCAGGGGTACCAGGTAGTAATGAGGACTATATACAAGGAGTACCGGTACCGGCGTCACTGTGCAGGGGGTACCAGGTAGTAATGAGACTATATCCAAGGTAGTACCGGTACCGAGTCACTGTGCAGGGGTACCAGGTAGTAATGAGACTATATACAAGGAGTACCGGTACCAAGTCACTGTGCAGGGGTACGAGCTAGTTGAGGTAATGGAGGTAAAATGCACATGTAAGTAGGGGTAAAAGTGACTAGGCAATCTGGATTGATAATAAACAAAGTAGCAGCAGTGTATGCGAAGAGTGTGAAAGAGTGTGTGTGTGTGCATGTGGCGTCAATATGCATGTGTGTGTGTGTGTGTGATTGTGTGTGTTGGAGTGTCAGTGTAGTATGTGTGGGTAGAGCCCAGTGAGTGTACATGGAGCCAGTGCAAAACAGAAAAATGTGCATTGACCCAAATAAAAAGGGTCAATGCAAATAGGGAAGTAGGAAAGGGCCTTCCCCAAACTGTTGCCACAAAGTTGGAAGCACAGAATCGTCTAGAATGTCATTGTATGCTGTAGCGTTAAGATTTCCCTTCACTGGAGCTAAGGGGCCTAGCCCGAACCATGAAAAACAGCCCCAGACCATTATTCCTCCTTCACCAAACTTTACAGTTGGCACTATGCATTCAGGCAGGTAGCGTTCTCCTGGCATACGCCAAACCCAGATTAGTCCGTCGGACTGCCAGATGGTGAAGCGTGATTCATCACTCCACAGAACGCATTTATTACATTTACATTGTAGCCATTTAGCAGACGCTCTTATCCAGAGCCACTTACAGTTAGTGAGTGCATGGACTTTTCATACTGGCCCCCCGTGGGAAACAAACCCACAACCCTGGCGTTGCAAGCGTACCAACTGAGCTACAGGGGACCTTCACTATTATTATTATTATTGTATTATTCTACAATATAGAAAATAGTAAAAATAAAGAAAAAACCTTTGAGTGAGTAGGTGTGTCCAAACTTTTGACTGGTAGTGTATACTTCCATTAATAGATAATCCTGTTCTAGACTGATATATAGCCCTGTATATAGATGTCCTAGCCTACCTCTTTCAGGTAATAAATTCAATGCACTATTAGCCTTATATTTAGCTAATTAATGATGGGTTATGCATAATGAGCTTCTAACGTATAGCCTCGGTCTCTTGCGCAATACACAAGCACCTGCGCTCCGCAAGCCTCTCCTTAAAAACCGCTCCTTAGCTCTTGGAGTCCCATGCAGGAAAAGCTAGACTAGAATAGTTTGCTGGACATACATTTGTTCTTGCATTTCTTATACCAATAGACTATTCGAAGAGGGACTCAAGCTTTTTTTGCTGAATGTTAAATACAGCAACCAATAGAACTCACGGGTAGTTTGAAAGAAGAGCGAACGCGCGATGGCGGTGGGCTACAGAAGTTATTCAGACCCCATAACTATTCAATCCTCGTGAAGGGAAGTGAAAGCCTTCTGCATCTAATTCTAGTCCTGTACTATTTAAGGATGTCATTAGAATGATGGAGATAAGGACAACGAAGCTTATTTAATTTAACAGTTGAAAGTGAGGAAGGAATGACGCAACAACATAGAGAGAGAGGAGGTAGGCTAATAACATTGGGGGAAATATTATGAAAGGCATTCTGTGGGGAGAACAAGTATTTGATACACTGCCGATTTTGCAGGTTTTCCTACTTACAAAGCATGTAGAGGTCTGTAATTTTTATCATAGGTACACTTCAACTGCGAGAGACGGAATCTAAAACAAAAAAACAGAAAATCACATTGTATGATTTTTAAGTAATTCATTTGCATTTTATTGCATGACATAAGTATTTCATCACCTTCCAAACAGTAAGAATTCCGGCTCTCACAGACCTGTTAGTTTCGGTGTGCACATCACTGACAACCTGAAATGGTCCCTTCACACAAACAGTGTGCAACAGGGCCTCATCAACCTCAGGAGGCTGAAGAAATTCAGCTTGGCCCCCAAGACCCTCACAAACTTCTACAGATGCACGATTGAGAGCATCCTGTCAAGCTGTATCACCGCCTGGTACGACAATTTCACAGTCCGCAACCGCAGGGCTCTCCAGAGGGTGGTGCGGACAGCCCAACGCATCACCAGGGCACACTGCCTGCCCTCCAGAACATCTACAGCACCCTTAAGTCACAGGAAGGCCAAGAAGATCATCAAGGACCTCAGCCAACCCGAGCCACGGCCTGTTCACCCCTTTACCATCTAGAAGGCGGAGACAGTACAGGTGTATCAAAGCTGGGACCGAGAGACTGAGAATCAGCTTCTATTTCCAGCCCATCAGACTGTTAAACAGTCACCACTAGCCGGCATCCGCCCAGTACCCTGCTCTGAACTTTAGTCACTGTTCTGACCGGCTATCACCAGGTACTCTACCCTGCACCTTAGAGACTGCTGCCCTATGTACATGGAGTCATGGAACATTGGTCACTTTAATAATGTTTACATACTGTTTCACTCACTTTATATGTATATACTGTATTCTAATCATGGCTCATCCTGCTTGGTTTAACTGCACTGTTGGAGCTAGAAACACAAGCATTTAGCTGCACCTACGATAACATCTGCAAATCTGTGTACGTGACCAATACACTTTGATTTGATTTGAACCGGCTTTATCTGGGGTCTGGAAAAACGGGCGCTATGTGCTGACAGTTCTGGTCCGTTCCCTCTCCCAGTCTCCATGCCCAGGGTTTCAGTGGTACTGCTGGACGCACCAGTAGTCTGACCCAGCCCGGGACCCAGTTCAGCACCAAGGACCGAGACAACGACCGCTGCTCCTGCAAGTGTTCCCAGATGGCTTCTGGAGGTACAGGCTCTGAGCTGTGATTCCTATTTCCTCCCCCTCAATTTCTTTCTCTCTTTTCTTATCCTTCCCTCATCCTACTTAATATGATTTCTATTTATTTACTTTCCTCTCACTTTATTTTCACCACCTTCTTTTTCCATCCTCTGTCTTTTCCCCCTTTCACCCATTATTTCATCCTATTGTAAAGTTGTTCATAAACCTACATGAAATCACTTTGTATGACCTTTGGACCACACAACCTCCTTTTTCCTCACTAGGTCGGTGGTTTGAGGCGTGTGGTCCCTCTGCCCTCTCTATTCCTGACCCCTGACCTCTCCCCTCTCCACTAGGTTGGTGGTTTGAGGCGTGTGGTCCCTCTGCCCTCTCTCTTCCTGACCCCTGACCTCTCCCCTCTCCACTAGGTCGGTGGTTTGAGGCGTGTGGTCCCTCTGCCCTCTCTCTTCCTGACCCCTGATCTCTAACCCCTGACCTCTACCCTCTCCACTAGGTTGGTGGTTTGAGGCGTGTGGTCCCTCCAACCTGAACGGTATCTACTACGCTGGCGTCTCCAACGTGGTCCGCTACAACGGCATCAAGTGGTACTACTGGAAAGGCCCCAGCCTCATGGCTACCATGACTACCATGATGGTTCGACCCGCAGGCTTCTGAGGGATAACGGCTGCGATGGCTGATGATGTCAGCGGGAAGCGACCGATGACATCAGTATGACTGACTAAATTACTGACTGATGAGCAATTCCCGAATAATGAAGTTTGACAGATATTTGGAATACAATATTTGAGTGGAGATTTTTAGAAATGTTTGATTGATGGACATATTCGAGCAGAGCAGGGTTTTTTGTCTCCAAAACTGTATTCCGTTTTAGATTTTTTTTTTTATTCCCACTGAAATGGCTTACAACATAAACACGTGTTTTATAATGTAATCGTACATTACAGTGCCTTCAGAAAGTATTCATACCCCTTGACTTATTCCACATTTTGTTGTGTTTCAGCCTGAATTCAAAATGGATGAAATAGATTTTTTCTCACCCATCTACACACAATACCCCATAATGACAAAGTGAAAACATGTTTTTAGAAATTGTACCCCCCCCCCCCCAAAAGAAATGTACATACACTACCAGTCAAACGTTTGGACACACCTACTCATTCCAGGGTTTTTCTTTATTTTTACTATTTTCTACATTGTAGCATTATAGTGAAGACATCAAAACTATGAAATAACACATATGGAATCATGCTGTAACCCGAAAAGTGTTAAACAAATCAAAATATATTTTATATTTCAGATTCTTCAAATAGCCATCCTTTGCCTTGATGACAGCTTTGCACACTTTTGGCATTCTCTCAACCAGCTTCATGGGGTAGTCACCTGGAATGCATTTCAATTAACAGGTGTGCCTTGTTAAAAGTTAATTTGTGGAATTTCTTTCCTTCTTAATGCGTTTGAGCCAATCAGTTGTGTTGTGACAAGGTAAGGGTGGTATACAGAAGATAGCCCCATTTGGCCCCTTAGTGGTATTCACCCCCCTAAGTCAATACTTTGTAGAAGCACCTTTGGCAGCGATTACAGTTGTGAGTCTTTCTGGGTAAGTCTCTAAGAGTTTTCCACACCTGGATTGTACAATATTTGCCCATTATTATTTTCAAAATTCTTCAAGCTCTGTCAAATTGGTTGTTGACTAGATAATCATTTTTATGTCTTGCCATAGATCTTCAAGTAGATTTAAGTCAAAACTGTAACTCGGCCACTCAGGAACATTCACTGTCTTCTTGGTAAGCAACTCCAGTGTAGATTTGGCCTTGTGTTTTAGGTTGTTGTCCTGCTGAAAGGGTGAATTCATCTCCCAGTGTCTGGTGGACAGCAGACTGAACCAGGGTTTCCTCTAGTCTCCCAGTGTCTGGTGGACAGCAGACTGAACCAGGGTTTCCTCTAGTCTCCCAGTGTCTGGTGGACAGCAGAACTGAACACCAGGGTTTCCTCTATCTCCCAGTGGCTGGTGGACGCAGACTGAACCTAGGGTTTCCTCCTCTAGTCTCCCAGTGGCCTGTGGACAGCAGACTTGAACCAGGGTTTTTTCCCTCTAGTCTCCCATGTCTGGTGGACACAGACTGGCCAGGGTTTCCCCTCCTATCCCCAGTGTCTTGGGGGAAGCAGACTGAAACCGGGTTTTCCCCTAGTTCCCTTTTTGGTGGAAAAAAGACTGAAACCATTTTTCTCTATCTCCCATGTCTGTGGGCGCAGACTGAACCGGGTTTCCCTAGTTCCCCCCCCCCCCCCATTCTGTGGGAAAGGGGGAACTGAACCAGGGGTTTTCCGGGGGCTGTTGTCCAAAAAATCCAGGGGTTTTTTTCCCCTTCTGAAACATGCCCCCGGTTTATGTTTTTGTTTTGTTTGGTTTTGTTCCCCCGGGGGGTTTTTGGGTTTTTTTTTCCTTTTTAAAAAACTGAAAACGTTTTGTTTTTTTTGTGGGTTTCCCGAATTTTGTTTATTTGGTTTGAAAATTTTCCCTTTTTTTTTGGAAAAAGGGGTTTTTTTGTTTTTTTTGGGGGGTGTTTTTAGTCTTTTTTTCCCAAATGGTTTTAATAAAATTTTTTTTCTTCGGCCCTTTTTTTTTACCCTGTCCCATTGGGGTTTGTGAGTATTCCTAAGGGTTTTTTTGGAAAAGTTTTAAAAACCTATTGGCCTTTTTGTTTTTGTTTTGTTTTTTTTTAAAAAGGGACGGGTGAACTTTTAGGCTTGGGGTTGTTGAAACCCCTAAAATTTTTAACCCTTCGGGTTTCTGTCCCCTTTTTCCCCCCCCTTTTTTGGGGTTTTTTGTGAGGCTTTTTAAATTTGGGTTTTTTTTTGTTTGGGTTTTTTAAGGGGGTTTAACCCCCTTTATGTTAAATTGGGTTTTAAAAATTGGTTAAAAATTAACACCCCATGTTCCCGTTTATTTGGTGATTTTCCTTATTTTGGTTTTTGCCAGGGATGCTTTTTCGAAAGGGGAAATATTATAAAGGGACTTTCCCCTTTAAATTTGAAATATTTAATTTGAAATTTGGGGAAAAAAAAAAAAAGGAAAAAGGGGTTGTTTGGGGGGAAAAATTTTTTATAATGTTAGGGTTTGTGGTAAAAAAAATTGTGGGGGGTTTATCCTTTGGGGGCGGCAAAAGGGGGAATTTGAATCTGGAAAATTTGCTCCGTTTTAGGGGAAAACAACCCTTTTTTGGGGAAAGGAGGAAAAACCCCCAAAAAAGGAGAAAAACCCCAAAAAAGGCGCAAGGGCCCCCGGAAAAGAAAAAAAAGGGAAAAAAAAGAAGGGGCCCGCCGCCCCCGGGAATTTAAAAGGGCAGGGGGGCCCCGGGGCCCCCCCCCAGGGAAAAGAGCAGGCAAACCCCTTCTCCAGGGAAAAGAGGAAAGGGGAAAAAACCCTTCTTTCGGGAAATTGGGGGGCAACCCCCCCTTCCTCGGGTATTAGATCCCCCCTTTCCCAGGGGGGGAATTAAAAAAGTCCCCCCCTTCCCCCCGGGTTTAAATCAACAAAACCCTTTTCCGGGGTTTTTCCCCCGGGGCCCCCCCTCTCGGGGGTTTAAATCCTCCTCCCCCCCCCTTCTCTCTTTAAATCGGCCCCTTCTCCGGGGTTTCCAACCCCTTTCTCTTTTCCCCCCTCCCCTCGGGTTAAAAATTTCCGCACCCCTTCTCTCTTTTGGTTTCCCCCCTTTTTCCCCTTTAAATGGTCCTCCTCCTCCCCCCCTCCTTTCCTTTTATCCCCCCCTCTTAAACTCCCTCTCCCCTCTCCTCCCCTCCTCTCCCCCCTCTCCCTCCCCCTTCCTTCTCTCCCTTCTTACTTTCCCCTCCCTCTCCTCTCTCCTCCTCTCCCCTCCTCTCCTCCCTTTTCTCCCCCCCCTTCCCTTCTCCCTCATTCTCCCCTCCCCTTTCTCCTCTCCCCCCCTCCCCTCTCTACTTCCCCCCCTTCTCCCTCCTCCTTCTCCTCTATTCTCCCTCTCTCTCTCCTCCTCTCCTCTCCTCTCCTCTCCTCCCCTCCTCTCTCCCCCTTCCCCTCCCTCCTCTCTCTTCCCTCCTCCCCCTATTCTCCCTCCCCCCCTCCCCTTTTCTCCCCCCCCTATCTCCCTCCCCCCTTCTACCCCCCTCTCCTCTACTCCCCCCTTCCCTCTACTTCCCCCCCTATCTCCCACTTTTCCCCCCCTATTCCTCTATTTTCCCCCCTCCTCTCTTCCCCCCCCCCCTCCCTCCCTCCCTCCTTCCTCCCCTCCCCTCCCCCCCTCCCCTTTTACCCCCCCTCTCTCCCTCCCCCTCCTCTCTACCCCTCCTCTCCTCCCCCCCTCTCTACCCCCCCCTTCTCCTCCCCTCCTCCTCCCTCCTCCCCTCCTCTCTCCTCTCCTCCTCTCCCCCCTCTAATTCTCCCCCACTACCCCCCCCCTCTCCTCAAAACTCCCTCCTCTCTCCTCCCTCCTCCTCCTCTAATTCTCTCCTTTCTCCTCTCCTCCCTCTCTCCTCTCCTCTCCTCCCTCCCCTCCTCTCTCCCCTTTCTTTTCCCCCTCCTCTCTCTCTAATTTTCTCCTCACCCCCTCCATCTCCACTACTCCCCTCCTTCTCCTTTTTCCCCCCCCCCTTCCCCCCCCACCCCCCCCCCTCCCCCCCTCTCCTCTACTCCCCCCTCTCTCCCTCTCCTCCCCCCCTCTCTCCTCCCCCTCCTCTCTCCCCCCCTCCTCCCCTTCCTTCTCCTCCCCTCCCCTCTCCTCTCCTCCTTCTCCTCTAAATTTTCTCCACTCCCCCCCCCCCTCTCCTCTAAACAACTCCCCCCCTCCCCTCCTCCCCTCCCTCCTCCTCTCCTCCCCTCCCCCTTCCTTTCCCACTCCCCTCCTCTCTCCTCTCCTCCCCTCCTCTCTCTCCCTCCTCTCCTCCCTCCCCTCTACCCCCTTTCTCCCCCTCCTCTCTCCTCCCCCCTCTCTCCCTCCCCCCCCCCTCCTCTCCCCCTCCCTCCCTCTCTTCCTATTCTCTCCACTACTCCCCCCTCTCCCTATAACCCCCCCCCCCCTCTCCCTCCTCCCCCCCTCTCTTCCCCTCCCTCCCTCCTCCCCCTCTCTCCTCCCTCTCCCCTCCTCCCTTTAAATTTTCCCACTACTCCCCCTCTCCTCTAAACAACTCCCCTCCTCTCTCTCCCCCCTTCCCCTCCTCTCCTCCCCCCTCCCTCTCCCCCCTCTCCTCCCTTCTTTCCCCTTTCCCCCCTCTCCTCTAATCCTCCCCTCCCCCCTCCCCCCCCTCTTCCCCCTAATTTTTTCCCCCCCCCCTCCTCTCTCCTCTCCTCCTTCCCCTCCCCCTCTTTAAAAAACCCCCTCCTCTCCCCCCCCTCCCCTTCCCCCCCCTCTCCCCTCCCCCTTCTCTCCCCCCCCCTTTCCCCCCTTCCCCCCCCCCCCCCCCCCTTTTTTTTTTTTTTTTTTTTAAAATTCCCCCCCCCCCCCCCCCCCCCCCCCCCCCCCCCCCCCCCCCCCCCCCCCCCCCCCCTCAATTCTCTCCCTCTCCTCCTCTCCTCTCCTCCCCTCCTCCTACCCCCCCCCCCTCCCTAAACAACTCCCCCCCTCTTCCCCCCAACCCCCTCCCCCTCTCCTCTCCTCCAAACCCTTAAACAAAGGTAGAGC